ATATATATATATATATATATATATATATATGATACTATACTTGAGTATCTATGATGATTACCATATTTGCTGGCATGTAATGTTTGGATGTAAAATCAAGTTTTGTGAATGGACAAAATCATGTTTAGAGATAAAAGATTGATGATTTTTTGTGTGACGAAATACTTTTTGAGTGATTAAATGATTTATCACAAATAATGAATTTTTTTGTAGTGTTATACAATTTATGTATAAGATTTGATAATGGTGAATTTGAGGTAGATCGATGATCATGAAGTTATTTGACCGGTTATTAAAAGAAAAAGCTTGTATATGTTTCTCTTATTATATTAACTGATTTTATCTCTCTCCAAATCTAACATGATAGTTTTTCATCATAGGACTTTCTATATAGAGATTAAACCATTACTAAGAAGTTAATTCGTTTAAAACTCAATTAGAAACTTCTATAAAATAATTAGTATATATACAAGTTGATTCAAATACCATTGTTATGATTTTAAAAAGAAAAAACAAAGCAGAGACAGATTGAAGTGGAATAAGGATACTTTGTTCTTTATTTGTTTTCTTTGTTATTTTTACTTTTATTTTCCTTCCTTTTTGGGGTTTGTGCTGTATTGTCTTTCTCTTTTTTTAGATTTTTAGATTTGCTTTATTGGGAGTTTGAAACTTTAAGGTTCTTTTTAGTTTCTGATCTAATTATACATATTTTATAATCCTCTGTTTCTATTTGTTTGTCTGAGAATTTTAACTTGACTTGAAATTTAAAAAATCAAAAGAAGATTTTTGAATTTTATGATTTTAAACTAAAGATATGAAATAATAGAATGATATTTCATGAAAAAACTAATGAACACCTCATAATACCAGAGTAAATAATAGTACTTTAGTTTCCCAAATTTAAGTTTAATAATCATGAAAAACTTGACAAACAAAAAAACATGTTAATAAATAATTACATGTATGTGATGTGTAACATCTATGTATAACTCTAGTATATAGTTTTGCTGGAAAAAGTCCAGTTGGAGCTTCCAAAGAATCTAAGTAGCTCAGTTGATTGACTACCTGAACTTTCACCTTGTTGATGATGGTTCGATTTTCCACCT